GAGCAGGGCCCCCCCGCTGAGCTGTTGTCGAGGTCAGCCGCGGCCCTCTGCTGCAAGAGGCCGCCTGGCGTTGTGGGTCTCGGCAGCAGGAGGCTGGCTTTGTGGCGCCTGGGTCACGCTGCGTGTTGCGCTCCTGCAACCGACAACGAGCCATTTTCCCTCCCTCTCTCCTGCCTCTCGGCTTCTCCCCGCCCTGCTTTCGGTCGGAAGTCATGCAGCGCCCAGACGAACCCAGTCGCGTTTCTGGAGCTTACCAGAGGAAGGCCGGGTGCCGCAGGGCTGATTTTTCTGGGCTAGGAAGCTCAGCCGGGGGGATTCCAGGCTGGGGAGCGGAGAAAGAGAACAACGGCCAGCCCCTGGCCTCGGCTGGCCGAGGGAACAGAAAGTGGCATAGGCGGGTCCAGGGAGCCAGTTCAGCTCCAGGGCACCTTTCCCTTTGCAAGCAATCTTTCGGGCCCAGGGAGCATCCAGTGTCACCTTCGCCCTTCGGGGACACACCTGCCAACGGGTGCTGGACCGTTCATCTCTTTTTTCTCCACTTCACCATCTTGTTTTCCCCTTTCCTGCTGCCACCAGGGAGGCCTCGTCTTACCCATCAGCAGGGAGACCGAAAGGAAGCCCAAAAATCACCAGCGGGTTTTAGCTGCAGCCACTCCGCCGGTCTGAGATATTAAACATTTTAGAGGCGTTGTGGCTGCAGCTAAAACCCACCGGCGAGTATAAATTCCTTTAAGATCTTAAAACATTTTTAAGAGAGTCATTCTTAGGCATTCAGGGTAAGAAAACAGAAAACCTCCCATCCAGATGGGGTAAAATATCTCTTCTGTTGGACAACTGATGGAAACAGTGACCCAGTTTTATCACTAGTGAGAGAGAAAATCCATGCTGGGAATTAAGAGTTTTATTTCCTCTCTCTTACCCTTTTAATGCCAAGAGTATAAAGCCAAGAAGTGATTTTATTGAGCAGGATAACGGAGAAAGCCTGCTAGCTCCTGGCACAGCTTCTTTTATTTTTTTTCCCTCAGCATTACATAGTCCTTGTTTAGTGACTGCCTCATTTAATGACCATTTGCAGTTAACGACAGTGATGAAAAAGTAACTTTGTGACCAATCCTCACATTTACAACCTTCAGAGGTCTTTAGCAAAGGAAAGCTGAAGTAAGATCATAAGCACCATCGTGGTTTCACTTAGTGACCACTTCACTTAACAGCCAAGTTGCTAGTCCTAATTCTGGTCACTAAACGAGGACTACCTGTACATTATGGTTTTCACTAGAAACTACCTCCCAATATCCTATGTCAGTGTTTCTCGAAGTGGGGTCTGAGGACCTCTAGGGGTTCCCCAAGACCCTCTCAGGAGTCCTCAAAATCAAAATTATTTGCCAGCCTATGTTGAAAAATAATACAATATTAAAATCCCATCAAATAATCATGAAAACAGGTAGTGACAGTGAACGCATCAATTCTGATTTTTAATATGGTAAATTTTGATCAATATAACCCATAGAAACAAAAGGACCTTTTTGAGGTCCTCCATAATTTTTAAAAGTGGGAAGGGGTCCTGAGAGATAAAAGTTTAAGAAACACTGTCTTAATGTGATCTTCATTAAGACGATCTCTGCATCTTCCTTAATGAAAAACTTCCCACTGTTTGGATCCGTGTTTTTCAACCTTGGGAACTTTAAGACGTGTGGACTTTGACTCCCAGAATTCCCCAGCCAGCAGTCTTAAAGTTCCCAGGGTTGAGAAACCCTGCTGTGGATAATCTGTCTCTCTCCACCCTGGTTTCTCTATAGGGGATGAATGGATTTCTCTAAAATTGGTGTCTCTACTATTTTAGTCATACCTCCTGCAGGCATTTCTCACTTCAACTGTCCTCATGCTCACATACATGTAACGGCTGGTTCCCAGACAGCAGAGAATCAAGGCAGTTCTGTAAACCACCCACCGTAAAGTCTCCCATTATCGGTGAAGAGGCCTGCCTGCCTCCTTGCCGGCTCGTTTTATTTTTTTATTGATTGATCGTATTTATATAGCCGCCCGTCTCACGTAAAAGCGACTCTTTTAAGGGAAGTCTCTGTCCCGATGGAGATGCGTTGACTCTAAAGCCGAAACTGAATTCTTGTAACCCCCTCCTGTTCATCTCAATAAATCAGTTGAACGGGGAGAATGGTGGAGAATGGTTTGAGCACGTACCAAATAGCCCGACGTGAGAATAAATTCCTTTCTAGCAAGTTACACCACGGCCCCCAACTGAACCCCTTCCACGCTGAGCACATTCCTATCAGCCCTCTACCCTACCATACAAACTATCTTTTCAGAACTGAGTGAAGCCACTACCTCCCTAACATTTAGGGCATTCTCTCTCCAGTATGATCCAAGGCAAACCATTCAATATCACAGTCATCCAAGTCTATGCCCCAACCACTGATGCTGAAGAAGCTGAGGTGGACCGCTTCTATGAAGACCTACAACATCTTCTAGAACTAGCACCAAAAAAAGATGTCCTTTTCATCATAGGGGATTGGAATGCTAAAATAGGAAGTGAAGGAGTAATCGTAATAAGAGGCAAGTTTGGCCTTGGAGCACAAAATGAAGCAGGGCAAAGGCTAATAGAGTTTTGCCAAGAGAACAAACTAGTCTTGCCAAACACTCTTTTCCAACAACACAAGAGACGACTCTACACATGGACATCACCAGATGGTCAATACCGAAACCAGATTGATTACATACTTTGCAGCCAAAGATGGAG